CTGATTGTCCTATGAGGCTGCATGACCCCTGACCCTCTGGACAGTGCTGATTTGCCCTGTGCTGTTCACAATGCACTCTCCCCCCCCCCCCCACAAAAAAAAAAAAAAACTCTAGCAATGCACACCAAACTGAACATGTGCAGCTTGCCCCCAAGGCTCTGTTCTGTCAGCAGATGGATTGGGGACAGTAGAAGAAGGGAAGGATCAGAGAAGACAGGATCGAACATCCTTTTTACACAATGCAGGGGATTAACCCCTTAGGTTTCACAGTGAGTATAACGAGCATGGTTTGCTGCATATACAGACTGATTTTACTGTTGTGGGTTTAGGAACACTTTAATGCAGCTGGTTACATGCAGTAAGATTTGTATTTCAGTTCAGCCAGTCTTAAGATTCTTAAGATTGCACAGCTAGAAAGGAGAATACACTATTTCATGGCTACACTTTTCAGCTTTTCATTGGACAGAAGCGATGGTACAGTTATTGTCTAAGGATATGGTTGGTGGCACTGGAAGCTGCAAAGCAGAACCGGGAAGAATGGTGTCATCTACCTGGCTGTGCAGTGTGGCAGGAGTTGTGAATGCAAGACCTGCTGGCCTAGAACTGACAACAGTGACTTAAAATTGTGTTAGGAAAGTTTTTGGGGCCTTTCTCTGTATTTTTATGTGCAAGTCATGTGTAGAAATACATTTTCTGTCTATCATGATTTTGAGCCCGCTCACATATTATTAGCAATTTTTTTTGTTAAAATTCCCATGCATGTAATTGAAAACTTGCTGATGTGCACGTAGTCCATTTGTGTCTGAATTCAAATGTTCTTTCTCTTCAGTGGTTTTTCTGTGTGTTGTGATGGGCATGGTGCATACTCTAGTAGTGTGGTTGTTGGACTTGCTCTATTCCGTTCATGTACCAAATTTTAGGCCACCGGCAGAAACAAATTCAGCAGCTTCTGCAGACAAGACCTTGGGGGATAGGTTAATGATTGAACAAAACTATGCAGCCTGCTAAAATGTTTCAGATGTGCAGTGGGACTTGAGCGGTACTGACAGCCAGCTTCATTGCCAGTCCCCGAGAGGACGCCAACCGCCAGTCAATGCGTCCAGCATTCTGTCCGATATTAAAGGGCCTGTGTACCTTAATTACATTGTTTTCCTATGTTGGCCTATGTAAAAGACCTGCTATCTTCATTTGTAGATCAACACTGCACAATCTGCACGAGTTTCTCATAACCCATTAGGTTTAAAACTGATGTATTTTATTAGGCAACGATACTGCCAACACATAGCTGACTTTCTGTACAACATTCTTATAGTTTTATAGAGAAAAAAGTATCAGTCCTCATTTTGTTGTTCTCTGTTAGATTTTATAGACCGATGGGGTGAATGGCAAAGTGGCTTATTTGTGGGTATTTTTACCTTCATGAATGTTGTTCTTGGTTATACAGGCTTTAGGTAGAGGAAAGAGCAGTGTACAGAGTCTTCAGCTGTGCAACTCGGGTAGCAGAATCTCATGCCCCGTACACACGATAAGAAAATTATGCAAAAAAATTTTATGGAACCACTGATCGAACGATTTTCTCTTTCGTTGATGAGCAGGATGTTTTAACCGATAACGATATTGTGAACGAAAAAATCCGGTTGAACAACTGTGAAAAATGTTGTCGTTTTGCAGATAAACGACCGATTTTCTATGCGTTGGTATGACGGTCGTATGAAAAAAATCTATCAAGCGCTATCACGCATGAGCGGAAACAGAAGATGACTCGGATGTTTATGTCCAAGGAATCTTTGTAAACACGAACGAAAAATCCAAATGTTATAAGTAGATTGGCCTAATGAGATAAAGAAACCAGAATTCTGCATATTATATTTTTATGTATCACTATTTATGTATATACCGTATTTTTCACTCCATAAGACGCACTTTTTTCTTCCCAAAAAAGGGGGGAAAATGTCAGTGCGTCATATGGAGCGGCCGGTCCGGTATTTCCACCGCCGCCGTGTCAGAATACCGGGGCGGCCGCTCAGCTCTGCAGTGGGACCTTACCTGTTCCTCTATCCAGCGGCGCGCTGTCTTCCCGGCTTCTGTAGTGTGCGTGACAGCTGCGTGCCAAGTGCGCATGAGGCGGTGCTCTTTGTGAATGGTAAGGCGGTACCTGGGACACATGACAGATCCCAGAAGCCGCCGGACCAATCACAAAGCGCAGCGCTTCTTGCTCATGCGCACTGGGCATCCGGCTGTCCGCCGAGCGCCCACAATACAGAAGCCGGGTAGACAGCGCGCGGCTGGATAGAGGAACAGGTAAGATCAAAGAACAACTCTGCGGAAGTAAGAGCGGGTACCTGTCAAATTCAGGTACCCACTCCCCCCCCTCCCCAAAGGTCAGCAGTCATCTCCTGTACTGTCCGCAGTCTCTGGTCATCTCCTGTACTGTCCGCAGTCTCTGGTCATCTCCTGTACTGTGTCCGCAGTCTCTGGTCATCTCCTGTACTGTCCGCAGTCTCTGGTCATCCTTGTAATGTCCGCAGTCTCTGGTCATCTCCTGTACTGTCCGCAGTCTCTGGTCATCTCCTGTACTGTCCGCAGTCTATGGTCATCTCCTGTACTGTCCGCAGTCTCTGGTCATCCCTGTAATGTCCGCAGTCTCTGGTCATCTCCTGTACTGTCCGCAGTCTCTGGTCATCTCCTGTACTGTCCGCAGTCTCTGGTCATCTCCTGTACTGTCCGCAGTCTCTGGTCATCTCCTGTACTGTCCGCAGTCTCTGGTCATCCCTGTACTGTCTGCAGTCTCTGGTCATCTCCTGTAGTACGTCCGCAGTCTCTGGTCATCTCCTGTACCGTGTCCGCAGTCTCTGATCATCTCCTGTACCGTGTCCGCAGTCTCTGGTCATCTCCTGTACCGTGTCCGCAGTCTCTGGTCATCTCCTGTACTATGTCCGCAGTCTCTGGTCATCTCCTGTACTGTGTCCGCAGTCTCTGGTCATCCCCTGTACTGTGTCCGCAGTCTCTGGTCACCTCCTGTAGTATATCCGCAGTCTCTGGTCATCTCCTGTACTGTGTCCGCAGTCTCTGGTCACCTCCTGTAGTATATCCGCAGTCTCTGGTCATCTCCTGTACTGTGTCCGCAGTCTCTGGTCATCCCTGTACTGTCCGCAGTCTCTGGTCTCCTGTACTATGTCTGCAGTCCATTAGTTCAGAATTTTTTTTTCCTGTTTTCTGCCTCCAAAACCTAGGTGCGTCTTATGGTCAGGTGCGTCTTATGGAGCGAAAAATACGGTAGTTAATGTAATAAACTATATTATACTCATTGCTGTTATTGTTGTGTATATCGCTCGTTCTGGCCGGAAGTGCGTGGCTACAAGGTCACACGCACACTGCATCACTTCCACTTGTACAGAAGACGTCAACACTATGTATTGCCTGATGAACGTTTTTTTTAGATTGGTTAATGTGGGCCACGATTTCGACCAACGAACGCCTCTCGGTCGTCGGATGACCGAATAGTCGATTTTCTAATCGTGTATTCCCACCTTTACGCGAACAAGTCTCAGGCATACTGGGTGTTTAAATATATATACCTGGTGTTGCTCTAAGTGATCTCTAATAAATATTGAAATTATTATTAATTATTAAATATACAATTATACAACAGATCATAGTGCACAATAATGTGAAATGATAATCATATATGTGGCTAGCCCCGGAAGACGTCCGGTCATAACTAAACGCATTGGGCGGAGCCTCTCTTTGTGACATCATCGCGTAAGAGTTGCCGTTTATGATCATCTTTGCTGTTTGATGATTTTTACTTATGTTTGAGATTTTAAACTGTAAGTGCGATTCCTTCTTTTTTAATAAATGGTTTGCAAACTGTCCTGCACTATCAGAGGCATTTTCTGTTTTTGCATGCTTGTAAACTAACCCCCAGCAATCGGGATGTGTAAAGGAAGACACACGTGGTTCACTTTATGGCATGGCAGCGTGCACTGATGGTTTCCAACAAAGCACATGTTGACCTCCTATAATTAAGGGGTCAAAAGATCTGGTAAGCCTCCAATTTGTTGTCGGAGTAGTGTAGTGGTGACATTGGTGGATACACAAGTCTGAATAAAGATCTGGAATCAATCACATAAGGTAGGAAAGGGGGACTGTTTCATATATCCTCATTTGGATTGTCACATATACGATCACTATTTCACACTTTGATCATTATTGTTCACTTTATTCTTTGGTTATTGGGTTATTTCAGAACACTATTATCTGTTGTATAATTGTACATTTGATAATTTAAATATTTATTAGAGATCACTTAGCGCAACATCAGATATATATATATTTTTTTATTAACCACCTCCCATCCGGCCGTTGTATATAAACGGCCGGACGGTGGCAGTGCAGGTTCGGGTGGCCATTTATAAATGGCCTACCCGCACCCTGCTTGTGCGCGCTCCATGGTAGCGCTCAGCTCCGCAATCATGTGATCACTGAATGGCCAATCAGTGATCACATGCAGAGTAGTAAGCAATGATGTCAATTGTGACATCATTGCTTACTACGTGTGAAATCTGTGAATGATCACAGAAGTCACATGGTACAAGGCTATTCACAACAGCCTTGTACCATGTGACAAGCTGTGACCAATCACAGCTCACTCAGTAGTTCTCAATGGCTGCAAGAATGCAGCTAGAGAGAAGGATAAATGATTGCTTTTACAGGCTTTATGGGTGTAAACGCAATCCCTGTAAAAAAAAAAAAAAAAAAAAATCTTCAGCACCCCCCACAAGTAGTACAGTGTCACCATGTCGACACTGTACTGCTAGGGTGACAGTATGTAAAAAAAAAAAACAATAATAAATAATATAAAAAATATGTTTAAAAATTATACTTTTTGGTTATAAACTAATTTGGGTTATTTTTTTTTTTTACTAAAAATATAATGGAATTAATTTTGGCCAAGATTTATGTTGAAATATTATTTATTTGCAAACTTTTATAAGAAA